TTGCAATATTTTTGGGCTTACAGACACTGTGGCCTTATTCGTTAACGAAGCCCGATTTTTTCAGATTTAGGGTGTTCTTCCGGGCATGTTCTCCAAAACGAAGTCGGTGACCTCCCCTTTTTTTTACTTTTCTGACATAACTAACTCATCATCTTACAAGTGGTAAAAGTTTCAGAAATTTTCGCGCGAACGTCCTTAATTAGACAGGCCAAGGGCGATTGCGCCTGCGGATTGTCTAACCTGCGATCAGGTGTCCTTTTTTTTTCGGCGTTCGCCAAAAATAAAAAGTCTGATAGCAGGTTAGGGATTGTGTCATGTTTGAGTTGTCTATTTATCGTTCATGGGGAAGGGCCTTCATGGTCACATCAGTCACCTGCTACGCGGGATGCCTGGGGCAGACCGCGTCGAAGTTTCGGTCGAGTTTCTTTTTTTTGTTCTTCATAGTCACATATGCAAATTTCCCTGTATCCCGCGGGACGACGTGGTCTTAGTGTTTGTTTCCCGTGGAGGTATGTGATGTTGAAATCACGTCGCGCCGAAGGAACATGTATAGCCATAAGTTTGCTTCAAAAGCTTCCATCGCCTTCAGATTTCACTTCAGTATAGTGCATGTTTGATAGCTGGCAAACGAATATTTCTCATCGCCGCCCGTCAAAAACACTGGAAAACAATGAAACCAAACCTTCCTGAAACCGCTTTTAGTATAGGTAATCATACGGTTTCGAGTTTCAATTTGGAATTGATTTGCATGAGTGAGTTTTTCAAAAACCTGAAATTGCACGAGCCGCTTGGTAATGTCAAGAATTAAAGATATTCCATGCAAGATGAAATGGGAAGGTGATCAAAAGTTGTTACAGAGGAGGGTTTGTACAATTATTCATTTCCATATTGAGAGATCTTCCAAACAATTATTTTAATTCTTAAAATACAGGGGATTTCTCAGTTGAGTTCCTTAGATGACAAGGTTGATACCAAAATGTACAATCTTGTCACCATGTTTCTCCAGCTTTAAATTATTTTAAATTGGATGTTATTTACCACAATGTAAAACAGCTTGAATTGCAATAATACAGTAAGAAATGCGAAACAGCCAAGAGAGGTTCCCTCATATATAGGTTTGATTATCAGCGGCTGTTTGGTAAAGCAGTTCGCATGAGTCTAGAATTATGGTTTTTCTGGGACCAAATGAGCTGTCCTAAGGCTCGAATGTGTCTACATTTATCTAAAAATTGTTGCCATCTGTTTCTGACCTACAGGTAGTTACAACCACTATTTTGAACTCGTTTTGAATTTTCACAAACTCTGCAATTAAAACCTCTTGTAAGGATATTCTTGTTTATCAACCATGACCACGTTGGGAAGTACCAGCTAATCTAATTGGTTATATTTTTAAGCTCTTGTATTGCAGCCAGTAAAAGAGTGTGAAACATTTTCATCATCCAAATGAGAGATTTGCAGTTTTCAATCTCAAGCTTGTACATTATGTAGTTGCTGCCTTAGCTGTTAATCCAAGAATCTCTTCCATATATCTAGGGTAACTAGTTTTAGAATATATATAATTGCAGAGAATTCCATGAATGGTCATTTACACGTACGTCCCAGGCTTTATGCTAAAAGTCCACATAAGAGATCAGGAGCCCGTTTCTCGAAAGGCCCGGAAACTTTTCGGGCCCATAAAGCCATTTTTAGTTCATCTGTATTTAAAAACGGAGAAGTGCAAACGCCTGAAACTTCTTGTATGAAGAAAACCTCTGTTCACATTAAGAGCATGCGAATAAAACAGCTATGTAATCATAAGGTTCGAGATTTTGCTATGGCTTTCCGGGTGCGAACACTTCTCGGGACCTTCGAGAAACGGGCCCCAGGTTCTATTGTTTCAATCCATGGTTGTTAATGAGAGCCCATTTTTTTAAGCAACTCCAGCTGTGGCTCTTGAGGTGACTGCGTGGGAAGCTTTCACCCCATTATCGATGGTTGATATTGCAGAATGGAAGTTTGATCGCGTTGTCATCTGTTATATGTAATGTTTTAAATCAGCTATAATTAATACCGAAGTAATACAACAATAGCATGCAATATGAACATCAAGGTGGACTAGCATGTATTAGTTTAAGACCCTTTAATAGACCTTCATTAACGAAATGATATTGCCAAATTACACTGCGGTCAATTATCTTAGGAATATCTCTGAAATCAAAAATACTTGCGAGGATTCCGAAGTTCATGTTACCAGTTTGGAATTGATGCATTTTGTTCCAGTTTGAGTTTGTATCTACTTTCCTGTGTTCTTTTCATTGTTGTCAAAATATTGACACAGTATGTGGCAGCATAAATCTCAATCAGTTACGTAATAGTGAACTTTATAATTTATGTGAAACTCAAAGGAACAGAGGTTACATTTTTTTTGTGTACCTCCCACTGCAATCCTTAGTTTACGTTGCACAGAACGTTTATTGTAATGAGATTATGTTATGGTTTCCTATTTTACGTCGTACAGGCTGATTTTACAGACATTATGTGTAGTTTTGTGGGACCAGTTGTGTAGTTTATTTGTGACATTATACTAAGATATTATGCAAAGTTTCACTTGCTTTTCACAGAGATGTTATTAAGATTATGTCTCGTGGCTTTTTACACCCTTTTCCGTTGTACAAGCTGATTACACAAGAAAATGTGGACATTTTGCAGAGGTTTATGTCAATAAATGCATACATTTTACAGACATTATGTGTACGTTTCTGTGGCATTTTGGGTGGTTTATTTGTGTAGATTTTAATAACTTTTTATGCTATCATTTTAATTCAGTTACTACAGATAAAACAAGGAGATTTTATGTTTTCGATTTTAGAGATTTTTCTCCCGCTCTTTTTAGAGAAAATATGCTGATTTTACAGAGATTTGTTCATATGCTATACAATCTCCGTAAATTTTACAAAAAAGTTGTAAGAAGAATAGCAACATTTCATGGACATTTTATGCGATCTGAAAGGCGCACATGTGCTAAAATGTACAGACTTTTCATAAAGATAACAAAATCTCCGTGAGTGTGCTTGTTTACAGAGATTCCAATTTACAAAGGAAAAGTGAACATTTTAAAGAGAATTAACTAACTTTATTGAAGGTGCAAATTTTTAATTAAAAATTAAAAATTTCAAATGATTTGGAAATCTGACCTTAATTAAGCGAAGGTTTCATCCGTTTGCAAGGTCATTACAGGCCGCACAAGAGTGATTTTGGTATACGAGATTGAAACTGACGTCAAAACATAGCTACAGCTTTCTTTATTTACTCGCGAATCATGGTAACTTTGTCCTTTTCTTACTTTTCAGGCGTCAAAGGCTACCTTTTGCTCTCATAATGCGTTACGTATAAGCTCGTTGCTAAGCTCTTCTAACTCTTTTCCAATTAATAC